TGTGTGTGTGTGTGTGTGTGTGATCTAAGAATGAGCAGAATAAGCATCCATTTTCTAAATTGCAATTTTTAAAAATCTATTTTCAACTCAGAGAAGTAAAGGCAAATCAATAAATAACTTCAGTACCACAATCAAGTCAATAAGAGGTTAATTGATATTAAAAAGTTGCCTCACGTTAATTCTGACTCACAATGACCCCATCTATGTCAGAGTGGAACTGTGCACCACGAGGCATTAAAAAAAACCAATGGCTGACTTTTTGGATATAGCTCACCAGGCCTTTCTTCCATGCCCGGTCTCTGGGTAGACTTGAACTTCCGGCCTTTCAGTGAGCTGCCAAGCATATTCCCCTTTTGATCTACCCATTCATTTAGTGTAAACCTCAAGTTGTTAAGAACATTATTGTCTTGAATGTAGCATGTCATATGTTTGACCAGCGTCGTGTGATAGCACTTTTGATGAACCTTAAACTAAGGTGACCAGATTTAAAGCGGGACACCATTGACTGGGGGTGGGGGTGGGGGCTCTTGATTAAAAATTTGGTCTATATGGACCAAATAGACCGTTCCCTAGCTTGTCATGTGTTCTTTCCAAAAATCGGGACTCTTTTAAAACGCCATAAATTGGGACTGTCCCACCAAAAGCCGGATGTCTGGTCACCTTATCTTAAATGCCCCATCTACTTGAGTTCTTAGAACGTGTAAGCACATGCACGGAGGGCCTTGTTCATAGAGCATTTGTGGACCAAGCCGGATGTGCCCTGATCTTTCATCTTTACAATGATTGTGTGGTTTCCAGTACCTGGCGAGGGAGTGTCTCACGATACACGTGTGAACTGTATAGCCCGAGGAAGGACCGGGCATGTAGACTAGTATGTAAGGATGCCAGGAGAAGGCCTGGTGGGCTCCGCGTGCACACACAAACAGCCTAATGCATTTTGCCTGCTGCAGTGGAGGAAGCCGAGCACGTGATGAAGTTCATGAACGACACCACGGCTCAGTGGCGGAACCTGTCGGTGGAAGTGAGGAGTGTGAGGAGCATGCTGGAAGAAGTCATCTCCAACTGGGACCGCTATGGCAACACTGTGGCCACTCTGCAAGCCTGGCTGGAGGATGCGGAGAAAATGCTGAGTCAAACAGAGCATGCCAAAAAGGTGAGGTGGTCGGACACGACGGAAACTTCAACGTAGGCTTTGACGAGGTTTCACAGCGTGTTTTGCCAGGAATATTTGCCAGTGTGACTCCAGCATGCTGACTCCACCTGACAGATGATGTTTTCAGTCCTTCCATTATCTCTGACCGATAGACACACCGTGAACAAATGCTCTGTTCAGATGATTCCCTATTCGATCCGTCCAGTGTTGGCTTGTTTTGGTTTGACTTTGGAGTGAACCAGACCCAGTGGGGTCTCCCCAAACCTCCAGGCAGCAGAGGGCGCTGGCTCACAATGCAGCCTGTATGGGAAGAGGCAGGTACAGGACCCAAAACCAAAATCCAAGCTCACTGCCATCCAAGCCATTCTGACTCATAGCCACTCATTTCTGAGAGGATGAAATTGGCTTTGGGTAACATAGTAATGAATCTAGAGCATGACATTTTTTTTCCTGAATATTTCTTATTTTCAATTTTACCAACCCTTAGCCACAGATCTTATTCTGGATTGGAGTAAGTTTTAAATTTTATTTATTTTTTGGCCAGTTGTATGTATGTGTATGTATGAGGGGCTGTGGAGAGCACCGTATTACTTAATGCGAGTGAATGTAAATATCAGTGAGATAGAGTATTTCCTACAATCACTTTGTAAATATCTCTCTTGATGGCCAGTAGAAAACTCAGAGCAACCATTGAGAAGATTATCATAAAAATTACCTCTGCTCTCACTGAATTGTGGGGAGGGGAGGAAAAATTTCTGGGCCATATTGAGCAGGGAAACAAATGAAATCTTAGCTGCCTCATTTCTTTGTTCATGAGTCTGTTGACAGTGTTGGCTGTGGTGGGTGGGGAGCTGAAGGCTGGACCATAGTGTTCAGAAGTTCTGATGTTGAGTTGAAATCTCTTATACCATCTTCCCGAATGTTCGCATCATCTAAACACAACCTGAATACAAATTCCAGCATGACTACTGATAAGACATTAATGGTGAGAAGTAAATTTATATGGAATAGGTACTACAGAGGAGTCCTAGTGGCACAGTTAATTAAGAATTAGGGGGTGGTGGTGTCACAGGGTGACCAGACACCCTGTGAGAGAAAGATGAGGTTACCTGCTCTGAAAACCTAAGGAACAATTTCACTCTGTCTTCTAGGATCCCCAGGAGTCGGACTCCACCTGATGGCAGGGGGAAATGCTAAAGTGTCAGCCTCCCCTTAAGAAGTATATAGTCCACATTTACTATACGCACATTACTGCTCGTCTTTCATGATTGGCTCCCATGCTAGTAGATTTCTATTTTTTCTGATGTTTACCAGTCTGCATTTTGTACAGCTGGAATATCTGTGGAGATGAGAATGGCAGTAGTCGTCTACCCATTCTGACTTGGCCTAGTGTTTATTGATGTAAGGGACCCTAGCCACCAGGAACACACATATACTCATCTGTTGGCATAGCACCTCCTCCCACACAGGAACGACACACAGCGGTTTGAAGGATCTCTTGACTGTGATGTGGCCAGACACCCATTCTTTTGACTTGGACTGAGCTGGAGACCACTTCCTGGCCCAGTGTGCTACCTTAAACAAATCAGAAAGGGTGTTGTTGTACAGGGGAGGGTTTCCATTCTTGTCGAAAAGGGATTGGATCGGGTGTATGTTTTGCTGTGTCTATTCTCAACAACAGCGAAAATAAGATGACGTGTGTCTTTACAAAAAGGTATTTACTATTTCAAGTTCACTTATTAAAATGTATTTGGTTGGGAAAAGATTGAAGATGTACCTTCACATTGAGACAAGTCTTAGAACAGGCCTTTCTCTGAGTCTGGTGACTTTCTTGTCATTGTTACCGTTTGGCACGGTTTCCAATCGTCTGCCTTCTTTCTTACGGTGCAGGACTTTTTTCGCAATTTGCCTCATTGGATTCAGCAGCACGCCACCATGAATGATGCTGGCAATTTCCTCATTGAAACCTGTGATGAGACGGTGTCCCAGGATCTTAAGCAGCAATTACTGTTGCTAAATGGGCGATGGAGGGAGTTATTTATGGAAGTCAAGCAAGTATGTCTTTCCCGTCTTTATATCTCCACAACACATGTGTGTGCTACAACCTGCTGTGATAAACACCCTGTTTAGAGATTGCTCATATAGAATGGGCTTCCTGGTGCAGAGGGTAGATATGTTTAGAAATGGTATGTTTTGTATTTGGTAATTCATCCTTTAGGATTATAATGGTGGACAATTACAAAAAGTATCATTTGATTAAGAATCACATTGACATGTGGCATCTACTTACGGCGAACGATTTGGGTTTCCAATCAGAGCTCAAGCCTTCTTTTTTTTTTGTTAGTTCCCTTTTCTCACCTTTCACAGTACTTGAACTGAATTGAAATGCATTTAAATTTGGAGTTGGGGAATCGGGAGTTAGAGTCCCCTATAACATATACCGTGTCACATTTGCAGAAAGTGTGAGGGGGTGAACAACCAGGCAGACTAACAGCTCTGCTTAGTGGTTTCTCACACCATGCACGGCCCACTCTTGTCTTCTCAGTATGCCCGAGCTGATGAGCTGGACAGAATGAAGGAAGAATACACCGATTGTGTGAAGACCCTGACTACCTTCGCAACCGAGGCCCAGAGGAAGCTTTCAGAGCCTATAGGAGTCTCCTTTTTGAATGTCAAGTTACTAATTCAGGACTTGGAGGTGAGGGGGGTTCGGGGCCATGAAAGACAGAGACTACTTTGAAGACAAACAACGCTGAGGGTTACTCAGGTGATTGCAAACACCATCCCTGGTTCTCCTTGGATGGGTCCTGCATGCCCTGGTTCCCACCTCTCCTAAGAAAATGGATCTGGGTTTTGTAAAGCATTTGTTGACCAGGTAGAGTCGCTTGGAAAGAGTTTACCTAAAGCCCAATGATGCAGCTCCAAGAGCCTCCCATGGAGGGTGCGTCCATCAATAAAGGCTTTGTTAAAGGCTTCCAGCAATCACGGTTCCAGGAAATTGAGTTTTATTAGTGCCATTTCTTGAATACTGTGCTGCCCTCAAACATAAACTAGTGGAAGAAGAATTAATGACACAGAGAGGTTGCATGATATATTTGTGTGGTTAAGGTAGAAAAGCAATCACCATTAAACCTTTAAACATGGTGATAGATACACAGAGGGGAGAAAAGATTGATGCTGGAATGAGGCGAGGTTGGCTGTGGTTATTACAGTGTGAGAAGGCTAAAGGAAAACGTAATTTACTTGATGCTAATGTCTCTACTTTAAACTTTTTCAATGGGAACACGTTGCTTTCTTGAGAGGGAGAAGGGTCCGTTAATATTTGAAGACAGGGGAAGAGTCCCTGAGAGGGAACATGTGTTTGCTGTTGTTCGGCCGTGACTCCTAGCCACCCTGCGTACAGCAGAGGGAAACCCTGATCCTGTACCATGTGTTGGGATAATAGAATATTTATGACTGCATCAGCACATAGCTTTGAACCTTTAAAGATTACAACAGTTAATTTTTATGCTACCTTAAGGATTTCTGGTCACTTTTCAAGGGAAGTTTTTATGTGTCTCTATATTAACAACGAAGGGGAAAAGGCCCCTTGGGGGTGCAGAAGGAACCCGCACAGCCCAGTGATTGAGAGCTCAGCTGCTAAGTAAGATGGTTGGTTTGACCCCTCCAGTTGCTCCGCGGGAGAAAGATGTGGCAACCTAAAGATGTCTGCGTCCCTAAAGATGGACAACCTTGGAAGCCCTATGGGGCAGTTCTACTCAGGCAGTAGGGCCATTATGAGTCAGAATAGACTCTATTACAATGGGCTATGTGGCGCAGATGGGTAAGCATTCAGCTACTAACAACAAGGTTGGCATTCACATTACCCAGATAGACTTGCTGACCTGCTTCCAAAAGGCCACAACCTTGAAAACCCTAATGGGGCAATTCCACTGTTCACTCCTGGAGTCGCCATGAGCCTGCATCGGCCTGATGGCGACTCAAAAATACCAAACTCGCTGCCATGGGTTCAATTCTGATGCACAGTGACTGTACAAGACAGGCTACAACTGCCCCTCTGGGTTTCTGAGACTGCAGATCCTTATGGCCGTAGATAGCTTCATTGTCTACTGCAAAGTGCCTGGTGGTTTCTAACTGCTGACCTTAAGGTTAACCGCCCAACACATTACCCACGAGGCAGTCAGGGCTCCTTGATGGTACCTGGTAATGAAGCAAAGCAAGACCTGGATTCTCCAAGGACTTCTCAGTCCCGCCTTCTTTGGCATCCTGAAGTTCTAACGTCTTAATGTTGCTGTTTCCATGTTTCCTGCAGGACATTGAACAGAGGGTGCCGGTGATGGATGCCCAATACAAGATGATTACAAAGACAGCCCACCTCATTACAAAAGAAAGTTCCCAAGAAGAAGCTAAGGAAATGTTCGCCACCATGTCTGGGCTCAAGGAACAGCTAGCCAAGGTGGGAAAACATCCGAACACAGGGAGCTACTGACACTGTCTGGTTGTCTCCTTCTCTCCCACCGACGAGCTGGACACCTGCTGGGCTTGCTAACAATCCTGCTTCTGCTTCTTTTCATGTTTTCCAACAATCTTTCTTCTGCTTCTTCTTAGGTTTCCTGAGTTAGTAACTTTGACATGAGTCTTAGCAAGAAAACTATGACGCTGACACCAAGCATGACCTCTGTTACTTTAGAAGTACTCTAAAATACAAAACCAAACTCGCTGCCATTGAGCCGATGCCTACTCAGAGAGACCCTACAGGATAGAGTAGGCCTGCCCTTAGGAGTTTCTGGGATGGTAACCTTTATGGGAGTAGAGCCCCATCTTTATCCCAAGGAACATATGGTGGTTTCAAACTGTTGACCTTGTGTTTAGCAGCCCAATGAGTAACCACTATGCCACCAGGGCTCCTTAGAAGCTATATTTTAAAGAATCCTGGTGGTGCTATTGGATAAGTATTGGACTGGTAACTGCAAGGTTGGTGGTTCAAACCCTTCAGTCAATATTCTAGGGAAAAGATGAGGTTGGCTTCTCCTGTAAAGATTTACGGCCTCAGAAATGTGATATAGGATCACTATGAGTAGGAATAGATGTGATGGCAATGGATGTGGTTTGGGTTGGGTTTGGATTAGCTGTATCTTAATAGAAAGGTAGAACTGCTTTGGGGGAAAGATAAACCAAGAAATCAGTGTGTGTAAAACACACAGACACACACATATACATAGAATGAGAGGGGGGAAGGAAGAGGAAAGAAGAGAAGGGCCGTATATTTGAATGAGAGTGAGTTCTCAAATAGCCTTAATGTTGAGTATTCCTGAAATACCTCCACCTTCTGTATTTGCTGGTATAATCAGAAAACAGCAGCATGTTCTTCAGCTCACAGATCTCACCTTAGGCTTGGGGCATTTTAGTTCCTTTATATGCAGAGATAGCTGGACATAAAGTCTGTTCTGACCCAAAGCAACCCTATGCACCACAGAACGAGGCACTGACTGCCTGGTCCTACACCGTCCTCACACTTGTTCCGATGCCCGAGCCCCTTGTTGCAGGCACTGTGTCAACCCATCTCCTTGAGGGCCTTCCTCTTTGTGTCCGCCCCTCTGCTTATCAGACAGGCTGTCCTTCTCCAGGGACCGGTCTCTCCTGACAGCATGTCCAAAGTGTGTAAGACAAAGTCTCACCATCCTTGCCTCTCAGGAGCACTCTGGCTAGACTTCTTCCAAGGCAGATCAGATTGTCCTTGTAGCAGTCCCTGCTACTTTCAATATTCTTCTCCACGATTCAAATACACAGTTCTTCTTGGGTCTCCCTTATTCAGTGTACAACTTTCACATGCATATGAGGCAATAGAAAATACTATGGCTTGGGTCAGGCGCACCTTAGTCCTCCAAGTAACATCCTTGCTGTTCAACACCTTAGAGAGGTCTCGTACAGCAGATTTTCGCAATGCAGCACGCCTTTTGAACTATTGATTGCTGCTTCCATGAACACTGATGGTGGATCCAGAATTTGTATTTTAGATTGAGAAACCATAGTCTTTTCTTTTGAAGGGTGGTTTTGTTTGTTTGTTTGTCTGAATTTTAGAAGATCCTTGAGGATTATCTAAAGTTGATTTTTAGGAAGGTGGCATTTATAATACCTGCATGGACTACGATTGGATACTTAATTTCTAACAAAAGAAAGGAGTGCATAAATTAATGAATGGGAAAATTTTTGTAAGGAATAGTTAGGAAATAAAACAGAAATAGGCAAGCCTGTTGACAAGGAGAGAAACTAGAAAGAGAATGACCTATAGGAAATCTGTAGTGAATATTTAATGGAAAAGAGGAATATGTTTGAAAAATGAAAATTGGAAGAAGTATAGACCTGAGAAAGAAATCTTTAGCTGTCACTGTGGTATAGATTATTTATTTGTAATGGATTACACTTTAACATTAAGAGTAGAGTTATATATAATTTGAAAGTAATAGGAAATCATAATAATATCTGCTGTCAGCAAAGTTTCCTAAACAAAGATATGAGGCTAGGCCAACCCTCTCTACTTGATAAACTTCCAGCAGCTCTCGAGAATTTTGTCTGGCCTCACATCTTATCCTGGACGGGTTTCCAGATCTGGGGCAATCCTGAAGGAAGCACATTATGTCCTTAGGTACTGTCTAAGTCACTGAATGTTTTTACTGCTGTTTCAGATGCAGAATTTAATTTGTTTTCTGTAGCACACAGGAAGGTTTTTAAAAAGCACCTTGGCTTTTGTTGTTGATGCTAGCTTCTCTTGGTTTTGCTCAAGGTAATTTTAGCAGAGACTTGTTGCAGTAGAAGAACTCTATCATTGATCTTTCAGGCAGATATGCCAGTGTGTCAGCACACACCACTCTATTTGACAGAATGAGAAAACGTTATCCTCTGGTCTTGCCACGGATGGCTTTGGTAATATTATTGATAAAGTTAGTACACGTGGTTATCATTTAAGAAAGAAAAGGGAAAAACTAAAACTAAACTACCAGCAATGGTATAATAACAATGACTTCATTCTCTTTCTTCAGTCTTGTGAAAGTATTGATAGTACATTGGAAGCTACCTTAAGGAAATGGGGTGTGGGGGGGTGGGGGGCCCGGGGCAGAAGGGTCTCGGAGAACTGGCCCTGGATTCTAACATCAATGTTAGAAGGCACCTTAAGGGGCTCTTGCTTTCCAAGCCCTTGGAGTCACATCATGAAGCTAATGCAGACGTGCAAACCCAACCAACACGTGACGCTTGCGTTGGTTCTGAGTCAGTGTGGCCCCGTGGGTGTCAGAGAAGAACTGCTTCCCAACTGCAAGGCCTTCCTTCGGAACTGCCCCTGGGTGGATTTGAAAGACCAACCTTTCTGGTTAGCCATCGTCTTCGTTTACCATTGGTGCCATCCAGGAATTCCAGGTGTCACATTCACAACATGTTTTGCACAGACACTTGGTCGATGAGGGCCATTCAGATCAGGGGACAGACAGCCCCTAGTGGCTGAGCCTTACCAAGTGAGTTAGTCTGTGACGTGAGTTCTTGGGACTGGAGGAGGCAGAGAGCATCGAAATGTGGGCTCGGTGGGCAGCAGGAAAGTGGATAGCCTTCGAAGCCAGTTCGCTCCCATCCACCTCCCTGCTGAGAGTTTGCCTCCGCAGCCCAGTTCTACTGAATGCTGAATCGGAATCTACATTTCAGCAAGATTCCCAGGTGATTCTGATTTAGTGTCACTGGGGTACAAAAACAAATTCTTTGCAGAGGGTTGAACGAGAATGAACCAATTCAACCCCTGAATTGGGAAAGAATAAGCCAACCAGTCTGTAAGCTTATCTGGACGGAGTGCCTTAAGTAGGAGGGTTATTGAATATGAAGTTGGAAGGCTGGTTGAGGCCCCATGCCGCCTCCATTGAGCACATTCCAAGGCTATAAATCTTAATGGGAACTGAGAGCCTCACCTTTCTCCCACCGAGTGGTTGATGGCTTTGAACTTACAACGTTGCAGTTAGCAGTTCAAAGTTTACTGGACAGGGTCACCAGGGTACCTTGGATTAGTCCAAAAAACGTACTGCTATGAATCAATTTTGACTTTCAGCATCCCTACAGGACAGGGGCTTGAACCAAACCTAAAGGACAGGATGCAACTGCCTCTGTGGGTTTCTGAGACTATCACTCTTTATGAGAGTAGAAAGCTTTCTCTTCCACCCACAGAGTAGCGGGTGCTTTGGAACTGCTGACCTTGCAGTTACCAGCCTACTGTGTAGCCACTATGCCACAGGGCTCCTTGGAGTGGTCTCGATAATGAATGCTATTGAAAGATAACCTGGGTTCAGATTTGAAGGCCCCAGTGAAGATGAGATGCACGTTATGGGTGGAACTGGGTGCCATCTAGTTCGCTAACCACATTTCTTTAGATAAGAAAGTGCAACCCAGATGGGTCTGTCTCCATGAATTTTCATGAAAAAAAAAAGGCCAAATAACTTTGTAGCTATTTATTTTTCTCAGTGTGACAGGTATATATATATATACAGAAAAACACATGTCCACAGAAAATACCACTCAACTGTCTTAGAGATTTGAAAGCCCCAGACTATAGGACATGCTCCTGAGAGCTGTGAACAGTCTCCTTAGGCTGCGTCCTTAATGGCATTTAGTGGGATTTCACCTTTGTTTTCTTAAAGGTCAGAGAATGTTACTCCCCACTCCTCTATGAGTCGCAGCAGCTGTTGGTGCCGTTGGAGGACTTGGAGAAGCACATGATGAGCTTTCATGACTCCCTCGGGAAAATTAATGAAGCGATGACCATTCTTGAGCGCGAGGCACAATCGAGTGCCCTTTTCAAACAGAAACATCAGGTGAGGAGACATAGTGA